CCCAGAGAAGCAGTGATGCCAGAGATGGAGGCAGAGACGACGACGTGGAGAGATGGAGCAGCTGGGAACTCCAGACCCAGAGTGGGAGAGGGGCTGTGTGCTGACGATCCGGGGGGCAGGCTTGCAGGGTCTACCCTTTGGTTGGTTGATGATGCATGGAGGGGATTGTAACCATGGTAATGAAATGATACATGATAGGATGAATGTAAAAACTAATGTTCTTCCCAAGTAAAGTATCACATAATTCATAATAAAACATTTAAAAAGCTAGACCTTTATTTATTTATTTTACAAAATGTATTTCTCAATTTGGAAAAGAAGCAAAATTGTTATATTCAACAAATTGTGATCTTAATTTCTGATGTTAAAAATAAGCGGCAGGTAAGTTGAAATAAAAATTTAAAAACTGAATAAAAACAAATCTCACCAGATGCGTAAATGTCAGATAAAAGCAAATCTGACTAAAGATCTGTTTGACCCCAAACCAACTGCCATCAAGTCCATTCCAACACAGAGTGATCCCAGAGCACAGAGCAGAGCGGCTCCATCGGGTGGTTGAGGCTGCACACCTGCAAGGCAACAGCCGCCTCATCTTTCGCCCAAGAAGTGGCTGATGGTTTCAAATTGCTGACCTTTCGGTTATCAGCTCACTGCTTACCTTAAGACGCCATCAAACTCCCGTTTGTTTCAGCAAGCAATACAGTACAACCTGTTGTTGTTAAGTGCCATTGTGTGGGTTCCAAACCATAGTGACCCTCTAGGATTCCTGAGGAGCAGCTGATGGGTTTGAACCACCATCCTTGTGGTTCACAATCCAGTGCCGATCCTACAGCACCACACCAGGAGTTCAGTACAACACAATGTCAGCATTGTAGTTTGATGTTTCAATCTTGAAGCCGTTCATATGTGAGTTTTGGCAGATAAAGATCATATATTTATGACGGGTATGTGGCAGAGTACAAAGAAGATATAGAAACAGAATTCTCCACAGCAGGTGATAATGTATTTGTCCAGCTTTAAGCAGAATTTAAGGAGTCCTCTTGTGGCGCTGTGGAGTCCTGGTGTGGCACCATGGGTTTAATGCGTCAGACTGCAAAGCCGTTTGAACTGTAAGATCGGCAGTGCAAGCTCACCAGCTGCTCCTTGGAAACCGTATACAGGGTCGCTATGGGTCAGAATCGACAACAACAACAACTTGTGGAGCTGTAGGATAAACACTAGGCTGCAAGGTCATTGGAGCAGCAAGGTCGGTGGTTCAAACTCACCAGCCACTCCTCGGAAACCCTACACAGGGTTGCTATGGAGTAGGAACCAACTAGATGGCACTTAACAACTACAACAGCCCCATGAGCCAACCCTTAGGAAATGCTAACAGTATGATTCCGAAGACCTTGCTAGTCCAGAAGGTTCATCATGAAAATTGAATCTTAAAGGACCCCAACACTGTGGATCTAAGAGAAGGCCCGGTACATGTGTGTCCTCCCTGGGGGAATGTCATCTGTGTAAATCCTGGCGCTCAGGGACCTCCCGACATTTATTTACAGATGTTTTGGGAACTGGGAACTGAGCAGGTTCTTTTAGTGTCAGAATCATTATAATTTTGATTCATTATTATTCCACTTTTTATTATTTTTCCAGTGAAAAAAAGCAACGACCAAAGAGATTAAGGTTTTCCACAATGTCACAACCCAGGAGTGACAAAATCACATTGGAAAGCAGACTCTGCCTCTAATTTCAGCATTTTTAATTTAGTAGCTTAGCCTTCAGACTTGGCATAGCCCAGAACCTCCTAGATTTGTGGGCACAAGTTGGTAGCAGTTGTCTCTCTGCCCTTATTGGTAGGATATCTGTGACTGAGGTTGACAGTCTGACTCACTATTACTTGTATGACAGACACTGACGAAACAGCCCATAACCACGAAATTAGATTCGAGATATGATCTTAACATGTTTGCACATTCTGTGAGACTGGAGAGTAAGTATATTCTTTCCAGATAAATAAACACAGAACTGTAATCTTACTTTTCTCTGTATCTTTAAGAAGCATAGGTAGAGGAGAACATGATATAAAAATCATTATTTCATTTTTTTAACCTATCAAATTTAAATGCACAGAAAAGAGTTGTGTTATCTTCTGTGAAGAACCCATGTTCTGAGAAGTTTAGGAATGGACAAGATGAGCCTCAAGTGAAGTCTCCCGAGTGCAGGTCAATGACGTCACACAAGCACACTGAATCCCTCCCACCTAGCCCTTTGCAAGTTAGTTAATTCTGGAGGAACATTATCCTATATGTTCTTATTTTATTAACAATAATTTTATTGAGCCCCAAGGAGGTGAGACACAATGAAGGAGGAAGGGTTCTACAGACAGAAATACAATACATTCATGTGCATATGCAGAGGACAGGAGTTCTTAAACTGAGCTAGTTTCATAGAAAAAAGAGAAAAATTTAAATGGCATACTGGTCTGGCACTACAGAATAAGCACTGGACTATTAAGGTTAAGGTTGGTGGCTCAAACCTACCAGCCACATATTGGAAACCATATACAAGGTCACTGAGTTGGAACTGAATGGATAGCACTTAACAACAACACCCACTGAAATGTAGATTCTGAGGCATACTGTATTATTTGGTAGCAATGTGTACTTGGAAAGAAAAAAAAGGCACATTGCACAGCATGTTCATCCTACTGATGAGCTGGCCCAGGTATGACATCACACAGGTAACAAGACATACCAGGAGCAGCTGCAACAACAGCACCAGCAAAAGCAGCACGTGTTGTTGGGTCTCTGGTTCCCAGGTGCTTGAGACACAGCGGGCGTTCCTTCATTTTGTGTCTGCTGCCTTTTTCGCATTTCAGCTGCTTCAATACCCAGTCAGCTGAAGGGAAAGAGAAAGCACAAAGTACAGAAAACATTAGAATAAAGATAAACTGCCTACAGCGAATGAAGCACGCTTAAATGGAAATGGGGAAATAACTTTTTAAAAAGATAAAACCAAGGAATTTCAGCTGTCAAACTGGAAATTTTCAGGGAAAACTCTGAGGAGACTACTCTAGAGACTTGGAGTCCTGGTGTGGCACTATGGATTAATGTGCTAGACTGCATAGGTGGTTTCAACTGCAAGGTTGGTGGTTCAAGCTCACTGGTCACTCCTTGGAGTGACTAAAGGGTCGCTATGGGTCAGAACTGACTCAATGGCACTTAACAAGAACAGCAATTACTTTAGAAACTTGGGTGGCTAACTTCTACTATTATCTGCTGCATAAAATCATAAAATATGGCCAATGTAATTTAAATCAGCTGATAAGGTAAATAAATATGGTAAAGTCTGAAAGAAATTGTTTTATAACTTCTTTCTTTGTTCAATAATTACTAAGTCTACTTTCCTACATGAAGACCTTTGAATGATTATAGGAAGTCTGGGTAACCTATTTCTCCATTACTGTTTACAGCATTGGTAACTGAGCTTTACAAATCATTTCTGCAAGATTTTGTACGATATATAAAATTGTGAAGAAGGTATCAAGCTTGTTTTTGGTGGTTTCTCACTGAATCTTTTTGCACTTTTGACTGACCTTCACAGCCTAATCTTTTTTTTTTTTTTTTCTTTTAACTTTCTATTTTGAATTGGGTGACGGTTTACAGAGAATATCAACAGTTTTACATCCAACAACTCATACACATTTTGTTTCATCTCACGGACTATAAATCCTCTGGATGTACTATCACCGATCCCACTTCAGTCCTGTGTTTCCTGTTTCCATTCCTCGTCCTTTCCTGTCTCTTCTGTACTTTGCCCTTGGGTAAATTCTGCCCTTTTGATCTCAAATGGTTGGTTATTCCAAGGTGTGCACCCCTCAATAGTGTTACTGTTCCCCCTCTAGATCTATCTGGAGTCCTGGTGTGGTGCTGTGGGTTAATGCGCCGGACTGCAAAGCCATTTGAACTGCAAGGCTGGCGGTTCAAGCTCACCAGCTGCTCCTCGGAAACCCTATACAGGGCCGCTATGGGTGGGAACCGACTTGACGGCACTTCACAATAATAGATCTATCTAGTATTGTCTGAAAATTGAATCAGGAGAATGAGTTCATTTCCAGAACTGAAGGGAGACTAAGGATTTTAGTCTTGGTTCCATCAGTCTCTATCCACCCAGTAAGCCAGATCTCTTTTTTATAAGTTTGAGTTTTCTTTCACATTTTCCTCCCATTCTATCCAGGACCTTCTAATCACCCTTTCAGAGTGATTGGTAGTGGTAGCCAGGCGCCATCTTGTTTTTCTGGTGTCAGGGTCATGGAGACTGATGTCCACATGGTTCTTTAGTCCATGGGACTAATTGTTTCTGAGCATCTTTGGCTTTCTAGAAACCAATAGTTGCACCTTGACCCCTCAGAAGCTTTTAAAATCCCAGTTTTCTAGAAACCAATCACACTCATGACCACTCCTACGATTTTAAGATCCCAGTCACAAAGTCTAATCTTGTCAGTGTTGCCAAAGGTCCTTTATTCTCTGCCAGGTGTCACCACTGCAAAGGTGTGTCCTCCGTCCCCCAACTCCCTGAAGACATTTTCATTTTAATGGAAATTGTGACAAGATAAGATAACACTGAATTCCTGGGGGAACAACTTTGATGGAATTTATATATTACAGCAGATGAGAAAACCATGGGGCATAGGCTAGTCCACCTCGCGGCTTTGCAAATCAGTCCAAATAAGTAGTCACCAACCCTAATTTTAAGTTTATTGAGGGTAAAGTAACTACACTTGTTTTTTTTTGAATAAATAAATTAATTAATATGATCTCTTAGAAAAAAGGAAATTATTTTACTGAGACATTTTTAGTAAATATGCAATATGTGTAAATCATACACCTAATATTGTCATATGTGCATTAGGAGAATGACCTGGTGACGCGCTCTTGTAAAGGTGGCAGCCTAGAAAACTCTGTGGGGTAGTTCTACTCAGTCATATGGGTTTGGTATGAGTTCAGGCTGACTCAGTGATAACAATAGTAACAGTTAACCATACATGTAACCTGTGAATCATTTTTCATGTCTATATATGTAATTAAGGAGCTCTGGTAACGTAGTGGTTACGAATCAGGCTGCAAACCACAAGGGCAGCAGTTCGAAACTACTAGCTGCTCCATGGAGAAAGATGAGACTTTCTGCTCCCGTAAACATTTATAGCCTTGGAAACCCTGTACAGGGTCGCTATGAGTGGGAACCGACTTCACAGCACATAACCGACCAACCATACACTGAATTAACTTTGAGATGCATATAAAATATTAATTACAGTATTTAAAAAATATGCTAAATTGGAAATTTCAGGAGAAAGATGAGGTTCTCTGCTTCCACAAAGATTTAAAAAGCCTCGGAAACCCAACATAGCATTTAACAACAATAAATTGGAAATACTCATAATTATATTTGATATGCGATGACTCATCAAACAGCAGTCAAAAGGAATAGCTTAAATCAATATGAATCAATCTGGGCACATTGCAAAACAATGATGAATAGAAAGTAAGATGCAAATCATTAAATACCGAATTGTATTATTAACATAATCCTCAGACATATACAAAATAATATTACCTATCTAGTCCAGATAATGGCTGTAGCAGTTATAAAAGCATGACCTGGATCCATGACTATGGGAATGTGATTAGAGAAGAAAGGCTTACAATTATTCTTTTCCTTAAGAAAGATCTCAAGCAAAAACAATATTGGTGGAGATGGTGGTGTGTTGGTGGTTGTGCACCATGGAGTCGGTTCTGACTCATAGCAACCCTGCATTGGGTTACTAAGGCTGTACATCTTTACAGGAGCAGAAAGCCTCATCTTCCTCCTGTGGAACGGCTGGTAGTTTCGAACTGCTGACCTTGAGGTTGGCAGTCCAACTCATAATCACTATACAACCAGAGCTCCTAAAGACATAATATTAATATTGTTTAATTGGGAAATTGGATATAGGAGTTGTTGTTTCATTACCTTTCATTCATATCTATATTTAAATTTCTTCTTTAGAAGCACACATGCACACATACATACACGCACCCAGTGCAATATAATTTTGTACCAGATAGGTTCTATGTCACAGAGATCTGCAGAAAGATTCAGTAGCTTCGTTGAGAATGGAATATCTTAATTTCCCCATTGTTAGATATTCATTCTGAATAATACAGATGGAAATGCCATCTTGGGTGTCCATTGATACAGACAATCTCTGAAAATGTATTTGAAATCATGGTAGCTGAGTGCAGATACTGTGTTAGATGTGCAGGACATTTTAGTCTCCTTTATGTCTACAGTGGGAGGTCCTGGTGTGGCACTGTAGGATCATGCACTGGACCACAAGGTCGGTGGTTCAAACTCACCAGTCGCTCCTCAGAAACCCTATATAGGATAGCTATGAGTCGTAACAGACTCCAGGGCACTTAATGACATGTCTACATAAATGCACAATATACAATGATTATTGATGGTGGTGAATACAAGAGTCTTCAGACATCTGTTTTCTCAAGGCAGTGAGTTGGAAGTTTTGCAGACAATTTAGTCCCAAGGCACACTGTCGAGTTTGAACATGGCTTCTTATCCTTCTCAAAGTATCCCTAAAGGAAGATGGGAGTCAACTCATCTCCAAGAATCCTGGAGGAGTGAATGGCCTACTACAATGTAAAGACTCAGGTTTTATCTTAAAATTCATATAAAATTTGCTTGATCCCATTGCCTAATGAGTTTATAACGATAAGGACGTTGTTGTTAAGTGCTGTAGAGGTGGTTCTAACTCACAGCAACCCTGCATAGGGTCTCTGAAGAGTGGTTGTTGGGTCTGAACCACCAATCTTGTGGTTAGCAGTCTACTGCTTATCCTATAGTGCCATACCAGGACTCCAACCATAGGCATGTTGTTTTTGTTAAGTGTTTTCGAGTTGGTTCCAACTCACAGTGATCCTGTATAGGGTTTCTGAGGAGCAGTTGGAGGGTCTGAACTGCCAACCTTGTGGTTTGCAGTCCAGTGCTGATCTTATAGCGCCACACCAGGAGTCCATACGTATGGGGGTTAGGATTTATTGATGTATGACCGTAAGAATAATACTTTATATTTCCTGACTTTAGATGAAAGGAAATCTCCCTCATCTGTCTTAATGATCAAGACATTATTGGAGAGCTGAGACCATCAGTTTGGGAAAATGGGGCTCTGCCCAGCCAGATGAATGATTTCTCATCCTGCTCTTGGTGTCACAAACTTATAAATACACAAGTGGCAAAGTTATAGGCTGAACGTCCCCATGACATTTTGCTGAATTGTTAGCTTGTTTGGGGAAATGGGGCCTTTCTCGGAAAACATCACAGTTAAGTCATACTGAAGTAAGGTTTGTCCTTGTCCTCATCCTTGTAAAAGGGGAACAGACAGTTACACACACAATAGGGAGACACCACGTGAGGATCCATCCACAAGCCAGGGTGCACCGGCAAATGCCCAGGGTTCCGGCATGGGAGAGTTTCCTGTAGCATGGACAGAGAGAACCGGGTCCTGCGGACAGTCTGAATTCTGACGGTATCTCCTGAACTGTGAGAAATATATTTCTGTTCTTCAGAGTCACCCACCTTGTGGTACTTTGCTGTTGCCCCAGGAAACTGTCTTACTTATCTAGTGCTGCTATGACAGAATTATGACAAGTGGCTGTCTTTAACGAACAGAAATGCATTTCTTTCACAGTGTAGGGAGGCTAGAAGTCTACATTCAGGGTGCCAGTTATAGGCGCATGCTCTCTCTTATCTGCTTTGGGGGATGGTCCTTGTCTCTGCTCAGCTTCTATTTTTATGTTCCTTGGCAATCATACGGCGTGTATCTTCTCCTCCAATTGTTCTTG